GTTCAAATCATGAATTCATTCCACGGATGATAGGACTAACTTATCAGATAGCTGAGATCATATTGAACATAAAGATCAAAAGTCTTTTATCACACTAAAGCCAATAGAGAAATTAACAAGTAAATTAAGTATTTCCTACATTTCTATGTATGTGATAGAGTTCATTTAAGAGATTAAATTGACCAAATTTTGTTAGAATAAAGCAATATTAAGTTACATAATCTGGAAGTCTGAACTTCAAAATGCTATAGTTTTTATAAAAGTTGGGATCAAGTTAACTCCTAGCAGAGGAGAGCCCGGATTTGAACTTTATGAGATCCAAAATCTAAGATAGCGACATTAGGTGTTTGTAACTAGTTCTGAATTTAATTTTAGCACACATTTAGTGGATTTCTTCATACAAATACAGGGTTTGGACTAAAGTTACTGGGTTCGACTGAACCCGTATGTACATAACCTTCTAGCTTCGCCCCTGACTACTAGTTTGGACATAAATTCAAGTTTTCTGAAATAGAATTTTACATATTTATAAACTATACGGAAAGTAATATAAGCCATCAAAGTTAATCATTCAAATATTAACAAAATTTTGAGAAAATTGCAGTAAAAAATTGTTTAATTCCCTCTAATAGTAACAGTGTCCTATAAATGGGATTATGTACCTTTATCTTCACTCTCAAAATAGGTATGATGATCATCGTACTTCCCAAACACAAAATCTTCCTGCAACAATTAAAAAAAACAATTCTTTATGGCATGCCTATCTCCAAATTCATAGAACAATAATTAACAGATTCGAGTCATAGAAACAACTACTAATGCTTATGTTCGGGGGCGAAGCTACAATCTATCAATGGTGGTCAATTGACCACCCTTCGTCGAAAAATTAAATTGTGTATATAGGTAAAATATTAGGTATTAGAGGTATATAACATATATGAAACATCCTTTATCGGGAATTTTGTTTTTCATTTCTTTCAAATTTGAACACCATTGGGAAATTTCTGGTTTTGCCACTGCATGCGTTAAGGTAGACTGTCCGATCCACATCACATCCTTTGGGGTGTGACCCTTCACCAACCCTACGTGAATGCAGGATGCTTTGTGCACCGAGCTGCTTTGTAATTATGAATAGATAAATCAAAGAGGGATAGGGAAACATTACAATTTCAATGCCATTAGTTCTCCATCTATCAACATGATCTTCATTAATGTCTGGTTCTATCTCCGTTAACCCCGCATACAATCTTGTTGATGACCTCATTCCATTACATTTTGTGCCAATTTTCAAAGAAATAGAATACGGGTTTCCTCGAAAAAAAACATTATATTTTAGTTGAGATTCTCCAGATTTTGTTGACAGTACTGGATTGGGAACTGGAACAGTGGAAAGTAGGGATACTGTTACTGAATCCGCCATGTTTATTGAGCCAATATTTTTGTTTCCTTGGTTATTGTTTATTCTGCTGGCATCTCTTGTTTTGTATTTTATCCAAATTTTGAATGGTAACGGCCATGCGTGGATAAGGCTATATATTATGGTGGCTTATATTTTCTTGGCTCTTATGTTCTTATTGTTTACTTTATTATGTATTAGTACCCGCGCGATGCGCGGACACAAACCATGTCAAATTGTGATGTAGATTATTTAAATCATGTGCAAATAACCTTAAAATATAAACTTTCTATATAAAAATTATATAATCATTAGATATGAATTAAAAGCAGGATATAAAATTACTGTTCAAATTTCGTAGTGGACAAACCTTTTTTTATATATATTTGTACAACCTACCCCCTAATTTTAGCACTTGCATTTTGTTTCGTTATCAATATTAAAGAATATTAAACATGGCATGCTGTGATATGTCTTGTTTAAGCACATTAGATCATATTATTTCAACAAAATTCGTACTATCACTTTGTGTTTCATCTGAAAGTCAAATAAGTCTTATTCATCACATTAGTTTTACGCAAATTCCTTTTTCTTTTTTCTTTTTATTCTTTACTTATAGTTATTGTATTATTCATTATTTAGTATTATTATATTATCATATGATCTTTTATTAGCTTAAAAATTAATTTAATGTCTCGCTTATTATCCTTTTAATAGTTTTTAATAAATATAATTTTTTAGTCTTGAAATTTAATATATTTTTATGCTTGTATTCTCTTACTCGAAATTCTTTAATCATTTAAATCTATCAATAAATAAATTAAATATATTATTATTTAATTTATTTATGTCTAAATTAATTTAAAATATAAGTATCCTCACAATACCTCTATTTTTTTTATACATTCTCTTTCCTACTATAAATTTTAATTAGTTTTTATATTAATGCTTTACCTATGACCAAAATAATATTTTATTTTATTTTAAATTGTAACTTTGAATTAGTCTAAAATAGTAATACATAAGATCTTTGATTATTATGTTCCAAATGTATTGAGTATAATTATAATTATTTTTGTAGTACATGAAGTTAAATTTTCTTTAATTTTTAGTTTTAAGATAAAAATTTAATTTTTAATTTTCATTAATAAAATTACCTACATTAGAAATTTATTTTGTATTTTTAAAATTTTATTTTTTTCAATTTTATATTTCTTGAATAAGACTTCAATTTCTTGGTATTATCCACAATTTGAGCATTGTCACGACGCGAAATTTTCCACCACGGGACCGTGATGGCACCTAACATTTCACTTGCCAGGCAAGCCAACGTTAGAAAATCATTAAACCAATTCCTTATTTCCATTCAGTAAATAACAATAATTTACTAAAATAAAATATAATAAGTGCGACATATCATAAAACTGTATTAATTACTACCAACCGGATCTAGAGTCACAATTCACGAGCATTCTAGAATTTACTACAAGTAATAGTCTAAAAGAAATATAACTGTCTGAATGAAAAAAAACAGTAGGACATAAAAAGATAGACGGGGACTTCAAGGTCTGTGAACGCCGACAGATCTACCTTGAGTCTTCGGACAGCGAACCAATAGCAAATCTTGATGAACCTGAGCCGGTATCAAAATCTGCACAGAAAGTGCAGAGTGCAGCATCGGTACAACCGACCACATGTACTGGTAAGTGTTGAGCCTAACCTCGACGAAGTAGTGATGAGGCTAAGGCAAGACACCTACAATCAACCTGTACAATTTAACAGTGTATACGCAAATAACAGGAATGAAGAACTAAATAGAAAATGTCGGGAGGGAAGACATACTCAGGGGAATACAAGATAAAGAACTACAACAGAATGATCACCGGAGCAGTCAATATACCATGAATCAATAGGAATAGTGAATACAGTAAAGAAAAATGCACGGCATCACCCTTCGTGCTTTTACTCTCAATCTCACCATAAAATTAATAGAAACGGCACGGCATCACCCTTCGTGCTTTTACTCTCATATCATGGCACGACATCACCCTCAGTGCATTAACACTCACAATATGGCACGGCATCACCCTTCGTGCATTAATACTCATAATATGGCACGGCATCACCCTTCGTGCATTAATACTCACAATATGGCACGACATCACCCTTCATGCATTAACACTCTCCCTTACCATAATGCAATGCATAAATAACAACAGGGAGATAGAATAACAAGTACAAACCTTCAACATTTGATTCCATAATATAAATCTCAACTTTTAAATGAATACTCTATTACCAACAGAAAATCTGTAACCATGATAATGACGATCAATTTAACAACACTAGTATAAACATGTAGCAATTAGGCATAGGAAAGAGGCAATATAAGAAAAATGGAAGAAACATGGAATACAGGTAAATTGGCGGCGCATAAGTACTCGTCACCTCATATATACGCCGCTCACATGAATTTCACTTAGCAAATAATCTAAGGTTCCTAATTCCTTCAAGTCAGGGTTAGACACAATACTTACTTCGCTCCAAAGGCCACTTAATTCTCAATCACAGCTTTTCCTTTGGAATTCACCTCCAAACCACTCGTATCTATTCAAAAATGACTCAATAATAACAAATATTGCTAAAGGGATAAATTATATTGCATAAATTAAATTTTTCAAATTTTCCTCCAAAAAGTCGAAAAATCGACCTTGGGCCCGCTTGGTCAAAATACGAGGTTCGGACCAAAATCCATTTATCCATTCACTCCCGAGCTTGAATATATAATTGGTTTTGGAATCCGACCTCAAATTGAGGTCTAAATCTCCAAGTTTTCGAAATTCCTAGTTTCTACCCTAACCCCTAATTCTACCATAAAAACTCGAGATTTTAGGTTGATAATTCAAGAAATGTAATGGGTAATTAAAAGAAAATGGTTTAGAATCACTTACCAACACTTTGGGGAAGAAATGACTCTTGAAAAATTGCATCACACCGTTTGGTTTTTGAGAAAAATGAATTTTTTGGCAAAAATCCCGTTTTGGGTTCTGTTAAGTGTTGGGCGACAGTGTTCATCGCGTTCGCGAGAGCACTGTCGCGTTCGCGAAGAGTATAGGCTGCCAATCCTTCGCATTTGCGAGACAATGCTCGCGTTCGCAAAGGCTACCCTTCCCTGGTCTTTGTGTTCCCGAGACAGTATTCGCGTTCGCGATGAAGAAACTCCCCAGTGCCTAACACTACGCGTTTCTGATGGGCTTGTCGCGTTCGCGAAGGGTAATGCCCCCATCGCTTCCTGTTCGCGACCAAGCCTTCGCGTTTGCGAAGAAGAAATTCCTGCCTCATCAGTTTACTCTTCGCGTTCGCGGGAGGACCTTCGCGAACGCGAAGAAGGATATGCCAGACACCAGAATCTGCAGAAAACCAGATTTTTCCCAAGTCCAAAACATCCTGTGGCCTATCCGAAACTTACCTGAGCCCTCGAGGCTCCAAACCAAACATACACACAAGTCCAAAAATATCATACGAACTTGCCCGCGCGATAAAATCGCCAAAATAACACATAGAACTCTAAATCTAGCACCAAATCAAATGAAATTCCCAAGAACACTTTAAAACTTCTAATTTCTCAACTGGACGTCTGAATCACGTCAAATCAACTCAATTTCTCACCAAATTTCACAGACATGTCTTAAATATCATAATGAACCTGTACCTGACTCCGAAACCAAAATACGGACCCGATACTAACAATGCCAAATATCAATCAATTCTTAAAAACAAATAATTTCCAAACTTTTAATTTTCATCAAAAATTCATAACTCAAGTTAGGGACCTCCAAATTCGATTCCGGGTATACGCCCAGGTCCCATAATTTGATACGGACCTACCGGGACCGTCAAAGCACGGATCCAGGCCCGTTTACCAAAAATATTGACCGAAGTCAACTAAAATTAACTTTTAAGGCAAAATTCTTATTTTCATTAGTTTTCAACATAAAAGCTTTTCGAAAACCTACTTGGGCTGCGTACGCAAATCGAGGAGGGTAAAAATGAGATTTTTAAGGCTTAAAAGCGCAGATTCAAGTTTTAAAACATGAGATGACCTTTTGGGTCATCACATTCTCCACCTCTAAAACAATCGTTCGTCCTCGAACGGACATAGAAAAATACCTAGGCTGGTGAAAAGGTGGGGATATCTACTCCGCATATTGGACTCGGACTCCCAAGTAGCTGCCTCAATAGGCTGACCTCTCCACTGCACTCGAACTGAAAGGTAACTCTTTGACCTCAACTAACGAACCTGCTGGTCTAGAATGGCCACCGGCTCCTCCTTGTAAGTCAAATCCTTATCCAACTAGACAGAGTTGAAATCTAACACGTGGAACGGGTCACCATGATATTTTCGGAGCATAGACACATGGAATACCGAGAACTGTGGGACTCTTCAAGGATCCACTCACGAAGTCCATCCACATTAGGACACAAATACGACCCTGCATCCTCAAAACTCCGTCATCTCCAACAGTAACCTACTTGGCACCACCGTGCCGCACTGTGTCTCTAAGGACAAGTAAATGCGGATCGTCATCCTGCCGATCTCTGATGCGCTCAAACAAGAAAGACCGAGCGACTGTACAAACTAGAATACGGCTGGACTCAGAAACATCTAACCTCACGAACTGGCTGGCCAAGGCCTGAACATCCAATACAAGCGGTCTCTCACTAACTGGAATAAATGCAAGGCTACCTATACTGACTGACTTTCTACTCAAAGCATCGGCCACCACATTGGCCTTCTCGGGATG